CCCAAACCGCGAAAAACCATATACGCCTCAAATTACCCCTTTTTTGGCTTTTTTCATCAAAACAAATTACCAAACTCATAACTCAGTCAAAATCCATCCAAACTATTTCAGAATGTCACGAAATACTCTGTTTTATTTGCTCATTCTGATTCTGTACATAAAACTAATAAAAGATATTCTTTCAAAGGTTCTGAAAACCTTTCTAGAAACCAAAGTATTTTCAGTTGGTTTTTTAACATTTATTGAGCTTTATCGTATGTTGCAGATGAAATAGAGTATTTCCTGATATTCTGAAATAGTTTGGATGGATTTTGACTGAGTTATGAGTTTGGTAATTTGTTTTGATGAAAAAAGCCAAAAATGGGTTATTTGATCTCGTATAGGTTTTTACGCGGTTGGTGCGTTTTGTTCTGAAAACTAATATTGCCACGAGGTTCAGCATAGTCTATAACCTATGTTTTCATTAATTTCCGACAGTGCCAAACCTAACGGCAGAAAAGTGCAAAAGCTTCAGGGAAAAGGTCTATAGCTCCCGAATCATGGATTTTCAAGATATCGCTTAGATCGAGTTTTGTATATGCCCCCAAGAACATCACTAGATTCCTATTTGAATTTCGGAAAATCCAAGCTAGAAATTTTACAAAGATCCTCGGTTAAACCGCCTTCAAAAATTTTTCAGAAAACCGGTTTTGCTTGTTAAAAGACCAAGACAGTCTCAAGTTTTGGCTATCGATTGGTGAAAACCGCAAGTGTCTGTCTTTATTTGATGCTCAGTTATTCAAAAAATAGTCAAGTATCTAAGTTCTTTTGACATACAGTAGTCACAATCGTATCCCGATCAAGAAGAAAAGCATTATCTTATAACCACTGAAAATCAGTTATAATTAATATAATGCAATAAAAGTATAGATAAACGATGAACACCCTATCAAACTGGATATAGTCTAAATAAAAATATCCGAACAAATACTTCATCAAGAATGTTATCTTGCAAAATAATCAGTTTGTGTCAATAATATCACTCCCGTGTAAATGTGTAGAAAATAACACACGGTTTAATGAAAGAATTATACCGACCGGAAACTTCTTGTGATCTTAGTAGTTGTAGTTTTTCTCTATTTCTACCCTTAACATTGAAGCTTTGCCTCTCGTTACATTTACATAAACCTGTCAGTTTTACACTGTTTTCGGATATTCGGAAACATGCAAATATGCCAGTGTTTGTGATACTAATAGATGTCCATGAAAAAAATGCTGTGTTGTACCAAATGTCATACAGACAAAGCTTCGCAATTTAAAAAGTGTCAACAGTAGAGAAAAAATATTGAAAGAAAAAAGTTCAATAAAAACAAGAACATAAATATTCTGCTACTGTAGGAGGACTGCAGCATGATATTAATCTCAGCTAATTCAGTTAAGAACCATTCATAGCACAACTAGATGATCTTAGATATTGGATCTCATTTAGGGGAATTCTGAATTCACCTAGATTCCAAATCTCAGCTCCGATATAATGCATCTCTTCAATTCTTCCAGCCACACACGCGCAAAAGCGTCAGAACCACAAATACGTAAAATACCTGAAATCACTGAGACAATTTTACTTTGTATTCAACCATGAACTTGCAGCAATTGCAACATTTCCATCCTACGTTTTTCTCCTTATTTAGAAGTACTTAGCTTCTGCCAGATAGAAAAGTTATCGACAACTTACTAATTCCCATTGAATTGGACATCGAAAACTCAATTGAGATTGCCAATCATACCAATCAAGAAGAAATACGAAACATAAAACTAACGCTAAAGATTCTAAATAATAAGCCAGTTTTCGAAATAATCTTGGAAAAGCAGCCAATATTAGAAATACATTTTTTGTAATAAATATTATCAAAAATACATATAATGCAAATTTAATTTTAAGATAACGGTCATCTTTTTTTGCTTTTTCATTTTGTGTTTGTAATAAATAATTTCCAACTTTTTCACATAACTGTATGCTAAACCCATAATCCCATTGAAGATTAATTGTTGGATCTGATTGATTATATAGATTATAAAAATTTTGTGGATGTGTGCTAGTTAAGACAATTGTTGTATATAGCGCAACAAATAATAAAAATACTAAGAATACTATACCAAATACATAAACATTAAAACGACGAAATTTTTCTTTACGTAATTGAATACAATAATCATGAGACATTAACTTTGTCTGCTCACATTGTGATAGTAACAGTAACGGATGATTCCGAACTAACGTGTAACTATCATTGGTATATGTTTTTGGATTAATCAATTTTTTCTGTATTACTGGGTCGCGTATTGAAGAATCCGCTTTTATTCCCTTAGACCATAATTGTATGGTGCGGTCAAGAGGTTTCCACCATTCTTCTCCTTCAATGTGCCGATATCCTATATATGGAAAAACAATAAGTTTTTTATCAGGAAAATCAATTTAGAGATAAAAAGACACCTAAGTAGAAAAAAAGTAAGATTCAATTCGCTAAATATTCTATGTTATTTCTACGGTTCAATATTTCTCTAAACACTATGTCATCCGAGATAATTCTTTACTAAAGTCAATTGTATTTTTTGTTCTGGAATTATGCCTCGATTATTTTTATCCTACTTAGGCAACTGTGAGCAAGTTGTCAAAGTCAGTGTTGAAGTTTCAACACTTAGAAAAGCAACTTCATGGACCATCCAGGGACTCAATCTTACAACCTTTATTAGATTTTGTTATTGACTGAACGGAGAACTTCCATTTGGCTGCCACTGTTTCCTTATTTTCTGATGGTGTATTTGATCTAGATCTTCTAAACGATTACTCTGGCCTCAACAAAGTGTAACAGTTGTTAAATATCATTTCTTATCACACTTTAGGACACTTTTTCGAACAATGAACGAGACACTTTGAAAAGTACCCAACGATCTGGAGCCACTGCTAACGCAAAAACGGAAAAACAGTGCGCGGTAGTGGGATACTTTTCAAAGTGTCTCATTCAGTGCCGAAAATAGCTACAAGAGTATGTATGGTATATTGGTTAAATAGCGTTGCAAATCGCCTTACAAATCTGGGAACATTCAGAATAGCTCTATTCGATATCATATTTTTCACACCTAGCATACACGATTCCACTAAGAATTTCAAGCTGAATAAGAAGCAGTACAGAGATTAGAGATTATCGAAATGTCGCATAGCATTATACAACAATAATATCTATTTTTCGCATTGCTTAGCGGTATGAGTGAAAAAATAGCAAAAAATAATAAAATCTCCACCTGAGTTTTGAATACAGGAGACGTTTTTGGCCTCCCCTGTATCAGTCCTAACCATAATAATGAGCTTTAACACAAACTAAAAATAGATACAGATTCTATCGCGTTATTCGTCCTTTATCTAATGTTTTTGTAAGACTCGTTATTTGTGAACAGATGTTTGTTGATGAATACTTTTTGCTCCAAATCAATAAAAATTTCTAATAAAATTTCGTTTAAACATACCGTGTATCCAATCCAAAATTAAATATTGATCTTCGAAATATTTATAATCATATTTAAGACTATACATTGTTTGTCCATTATTCCCACCAATTCTTTTGGTGAATTTATTATCAATTAGTCTCAGAGCAATATCAGGCATATATATAATTAATCTTCTCATCGGTGTTAATGGTACATTGCGTTCATCAAATTGTGCACTTTTCATTAATTTTTCCCAATCCTCATAATCAGATAATAGTAATTTTTCAACAACAAGTTCATGACGATTTTCTATTGATATGTCTAAGCAATTATAACCTTTTGCATTACGAATAGTTGCATCAGCATCTGTGTAATCTAATAAATATTTAACAACTGCTAAATATCCGTTTTCACATGCCAAATAAATGGGTGTAACACGTTTATCAGCAAATGAATTAACATTCACATCCCATTCTTCTATTAAATATTTAACTATTTCAATATGACCTATAAACAAGAGTCAAGAAAAAATACGCGTGCACAGAATTATGCAGTAGCAGGGGATGGACCGTTACTCTGGTAACGGTGACGGTTTTGTGTTACCATTACTAGTAAAGTAATAACGATTCAACTGTTATTGTTACTGTAGCGGATAACGGTTATTGACTTGGCATGTCAAGCTAAATTTTTTGATTTGTAAAATGTACGTTCGTTTCTCTGAGACCGTATGATTTGTTTTTTCTCTTATTACTATTGGTAAAGTAACAAAGAAACATTTTTTTCTAGAAAATGAGTGTTTGTCGTCTCGGAATTTCAGAGGCTTGCCAAGTTTCTAAAGATTTTCCGACTTTTAAGAACTGCATTCGCTATCTTGAGCCGATGTGCAGAAATGCTGAGTGCAATGAGTCACAGGAATAAACATTCTTTTGTCTCAAGTCTTACTATTTAGGAATTTTCCAGAGATCAAAGTTCAAAAACGACCGTGAGGTATTCTCCAAGATCTTTTAATATACTTCAAGCTAGAGAATCCGGGTTTGCTTTACTAGAAACTAGACATCTAACCACGTTAGCAGACGGCGCCGATTTTCCAGTTAAGCCTTTGTTCGTTTTGCAGACAACCAGCAACTCCGTAAACTCGAAAAACGTTGCCTGGTTTTCTAGAAATCCTTAATTTTACAAAAAACTAAAACCTAATTGAAAAATCGGCACCAGTCAGTCCATGTACTTAGGCGTCTAGTTTCAAATAAAGCAGATCCGAACTCTCTGGCATGATGTATTTTAAAAGTCTTGGAAAATACTTCAGGTGTTACTCCAATGTAGAGAAAACGCTGTATAAAAAGCTCAATTTTAAGACTTGTAGAAAAATGCTTGTGACTTTTCGACACAAGATCATACAGAGTTGTGCAAGGTCTTATTTTTGTCAGAAAAGTTTGCTATACTAATCTACGGCTTCAGAAACAATCTAATAATTGCATAAGTGCCAGGAAAAAATTGCTACCTGGAGACTCGGATTTTCGACGCTCCTGTAAAATTTGCTCTAATGCCGCGAAAAATCACTTTTATAACCGAAAGCGATACAGATTCTGAAAGTAGACACTTGAGGCTATCTTTCATGTGCTTATCTCAAAATTGATTTCTTAACCGAAAATCATCATTTCTGAGCGCCGGGGTCTAACATTAGCTGCTGCTCTTGGGAAATCCTTTGAACTGAATCGTCTGAAATATTTTGTACGAAAAAGCCTTCAATCCTAAATACTAGTAAATAATGCATTGAACTCTTTTGAAAAGTTTAGAAATTTGTGACTATAATAAATCTAAAAGGTTCTAAGGGAGTTATCGAAAGCTTGTTAATAGAAACTTCAAAATCTTAGAAGATTCCGAAAAGTTGAGAATCTCTATATCCTTCAGATGTTGTATGGAAGCATTTCTTTTAAGACAATATTCTGTCTAAATGCAGCGAATTCAAACTTAAAATCCACAACTTACCTTTCGCACAAGCCATATGTAAAAGTGTTTGTCCATCATTATTTTTACATTGATAATCAAGAAATTCTTTAATCTCTATACCATCCATTTTCTTAAACATCAATTTTAAAATATCTATGTGACCGTTCATTGTAGCTTCATGTAATGCTGTACCACCCATAGCGCTTGTGCTTGATTTGCTATTTTTTTTTAAAAGATATCCTTGCAACTTAGATTTATTATCTTCAATTATAGCTGTCAAAAACATTTCAGAAAGATCTTTATGGCCATATTTACATGCTATATGTAATGGTGAATTACCATCATAATCAACATCTTCCAATAAACTTTTATATTCCTTAATTATTAATTTACATATTTCAATATGACCATTCTGTCGGGTTGGTGGTGGTGGTGGTGGTGACGGTGGTGGTATTTTGCAGTTTTCTGCACATAAATGTAAAATATTTTTTTTTTCATTTTTTATTTTTTCTTTCATAATCTTTAAATCTGGTTTATGGTTTTCTATTAAATATTTTATACATTTATTATTACCATACTTAGCAGCTACTAATACTGGTGTGTAGCCATTGTCATCTTTAACACTAAGCTGTTCTGGTTTTTCTTTTAATTCATCTTTTTTACATATATGAGCAAGTATATCATCATTATTATATTTACATGCCAGATGAAGTAAATATAGACACGATTTTTGATTAACATTAACTAGTCGATGAATACCACTTCCACCCAATGCCTGTTGGCTATTTTCATATTTTTCCAAATATTTGTCTAATATTGCAATATTGTTTGATTTAATTGCAGATTCCATAGACAGATTTGATTCATTTGTTAATTTGATTAGTTCTTTAACGCATTCTGCAAAACCGCGGTTAGTGACTATTGTTAACGCTGTTTGTTCGTCCGAATTTCTCATATTAACGTACTGATCTAAATTCCTTTGCTTTTTATCTTGTCGTATTTGTTCGTGTTCTGCTTGTTTTTGTAAATCAACGGGAATGACGACATAAAAAGTACGAGATGGTGTTGGTCCGTCATCAACGATATAATCTTTTCGTTTAGCACCATCAAATAATAACTTAATCATTTTCAAACATTCATCATCACCTCGTGATGAAAAACAAGCAAAATGTAATGGTGTGGCATTCAATTTACTTACAGCCTAAAAAAATTGAAATCAAGTGATGTCATTTAAGAAAGAAGGAAGTATAAGATTACTACAAATACATGATTATTTAGATTTTAGCCAAAAATCATTTATTATATTGAGCGTGTACTGTTTAAACTAACATCATCGTGAGGATATCACGGTATACGAGAAATTCGCAAGTACATATATACAAAAATACTCTTATATAGAACATTTTTGAATTTTCAGCACCATACAAAGAAAAGAAAGAAAAAGAGAATTTGACCTGTGATATTTGAAAAATAAAATGAAATACTGAACATTGTTTCAAGGAAAACAGGAAAGGAGAGAGAAATTTACTTGTTATATGCTTGAGATTACGATAGAAAAGAACAAGAGGAAGAAGTTACACATGATAATCAAATTATCATGTGTCCGTAGAACTTTTTGTAAGCTACCGAAAAATAAACAGTACTCATAAAGCACTTGAAAGGAAAAGTATCTTAATAAAATATTGATTTCACGATGTGGTGAGCTAACTTTGCTACCGTAAGGGAATTCCGTGACGTTTTATCTTTATTTTGTTGTGTCAATATATACCAAACCGAACAATACATCATCTCAATCTAAATTCATACGATGGACCCAATCAAAGTCACATATTCTCAAAAGGCTAATGAAATATTTCACTTGCTTGCCCAAGAAAAAGTTTTAAACAAAAGGATGCGTTGAAACGCGTTTTGTTTTAAGCGGACATGTTTTCGCTCGACTTTTTGCGTGTTTTTATAACGTCTTCAGACGCAGTTTTTTTCTAATGAAAACGCTAAAAGCAGTTTTCAAACGCGCCACTTTGAACAAAGTAGCAAGCTATACAGTAACATATGGCATTAATGCCATGAGTTTCGAGCATGTTAGTCAGACAAAACACACAACGTTATTCTATGACTTCTAAGTTTCATTTATAAAGTAAATAAATCTTTTCGCTCAACATAAAGTATTTCTGCAGACAATTATCTCCTTTCTCATTTATTTTAGTATAACAGCTTCGTGTAGTTTATGTTGTATTCTAAGTTATGAATTTGTAAATTTTATTTTATTACTTCTACTACTGAGAAAGACTACGATAACCAGGTGAAACGTTGGACAAATAAATTAAAAAGTTTTGAATTACGAAATAAAAAATACATCAACATTTTCAAACATGAGATGAAGTTGTGCGGGCCATACTTTCAAAATCGTCCAAGACAAAAAAGGCGAAAAAGTTAAGACGTTCGAAAGTATTCTGAAGTGACTCATTTGCAGTGTGCTTCTTGAATCTACCGTCAATATCCTAACAAGTCACTTTTTTTGGCAGAGTAGGATATGCGAAATTTTGGATAGTGGGAATTATTGTCGTATGGATCAGAATCTTTTACACAGATTTAAAAAAATTAAGCTTTGACTATTTTCACTTTGGATGCGGTGGAATTTGTTAAAGTAACACTTATGAATTCTTATTTAACTGTCGTTGATCCATTTTGTTTGTAATGGAATAAGTGCAAAATTCATTTACTATTAATATTCAGGAGCATTATTCTAGAAACTGTGGCGAGTTTGGGCAAAATTGAGGATTTTCTCCTGCTGCCTGATGCCGTAACACGAATAAAAAGGACAAGACAAATTATAAGGACAAACACTTTATACTACTTCATTAAAAAGAATTTTGCCTGAAACTGTTACTTTCGAACTTGCTCTCGCGCTACTTTCTGCCAACCTTCTTCACACACCGACAAGTAACTCGGCAGATGTGTCTATTCTGGAAAAATGCCTAAATTTCTATCGAGAAACAGTCCTCATTGTCCGTTTTGTTCTTTTGTAGCCTACAAACATATATTTTCATCTTCAGCTTGCCGCAACTATGCATTTACAGGAGAAATTTCTATTTGCAGCAACTGCAACCTTAGCACAGTATGTCATTCTATGACACTTTTAAGCTAAAGTGCCTCAAAAAAATTACACAAAAGAATGGATTATTCATTACTTGTTTTCTGTAACTTCTGAAAAATGGTACTCTTACGAGGGAACCTCTTGAGATGCTAAAAGCCTTTTTGGATGAGCCTATTTTTAAAATATAAGCCCTCATGGGCTACGAAGAACTACAACTTGGTTCGGGCGCAATCAGCTTTGTTGTTGAGATATCGAATTTTTACTCGAATTTTTCCTATGGCAGTGCGGAGTCATGACTTATATCTCGATCGGCCTATGCGATTATCTCGATTAGGCTACAAATCCCGATAAGGATATAAGCAAGATTCGAACCGGGATATCGTTGTATCCCGATCGGGCTATATTACTAAATATGTTCAAACAAGTATTGAAAGTAAATATGATCATCCACTAATTGCCATCAGTGAGACTTAAAAGTCTTGGGTGAAAACTTAAAAGTTTTTAGTGGAAAAATTATTTTGCCTTCAATACCTGGCAACCTCTTATTTTTTCTGATGTCAGGTACACCGCCTAGAAATCCGATTCGTAAAAACCCCCATATATCAAAAGATGCAGCAAAGCCTCCTCTACAAAATGCTGAAAACTGCAGATCTCTATCTCTCTTCATTCTGAAAATATTCAAATAATAGCCATGGATACTATATTCTGAAATGGATAGTAGGTTATCATCATCCGATACTTTGGAGATCTCCATGGATTCATATGCAGTTTTGAGTGCTCTATTCGATGGCGGTTTTGGATTCACGTAATTAGCTTTTTTTCCAAAACGAAAGGTTTTTAAAAAAAGTCAATAACAGCCTGTTCCGAATATATTTTATATCTCGATGAAAATACACGATTTTTGATCGAATTTTTATGCAGTATCCCAAACGATGCATACAGCAGACCTCATGGAATCTGAATCAGTCTTGAATCCTCTTTCGAATGGCACTGTCCTTTTTTTATTTGGTTGTCAAGCGGAGGCCAGAACAATGACTGATTCATTATATAGACCGATCAGGCTATACAAATTATCCCGATCGGGATTTATATCGAGATAATCGCATAGGCCGATCGAGATTATACCTTGATTGGGATATAAGTCATGACTCCGCACTGAATGGAGCCTGAATTTCATGCAAAATCGGAGTTTGTATTGCATGTTGAAACTTATCGCATATTGTAGCCCAGACCATTTGCAGTCTGACAGAAAAGGCCGAGGTGAAAACCTCTTTCCGCTGCGATGAAAGAATTTTCTCAAAACTTGCTCCATGTTTTACTTTTAGTGCCGATATGGAAAAACATTTTTCATCGCAGCGGAAAGGGATTTTCACCTCGGCCATCTCAGACTGCAATAGTCTGGGCTACAATATGCGATAAGTTTCAACATGCAATTCAAAACTTCGATTTTGCTTGAAATTCAGGTTCCATTGGAAAAATTTCAGCAACAAAACTGATTGCGCCCGAACCAAGTTGGAGTTCTTTATAGCCTATGAGGGCCTACATTTTAAAAATAGGCCCAGTCAAAAAGGCTTTTAGCATCTCAGGAGGTTCCTTCGTGAGCTGTTCGGCGATAGAAATTACACATGACTACTCATAGCACACGTTGCAGAACAGACACAGCCAGTACAAAATATCTCAAAGAGAAATCCTGCTGTGATATACATACTAAAATAAATAAAAACAGAGTTAGGGAAATATATAGGGTTGAAATGAATTCGAACAATGGAGGAGACATTTGCATGTAGAACGTTAAAATAACATAACCAGAAGAAAATCAACAGTTTAGGAGGATGCGTACAGCAAATTTGAACAGGCGTAAGTTGGGTGCAGTTGCTAAGGACTCAGCTAGTAGTGTGTTCCAGTCAGCCGCTGTCTGCCAAAAGAAAGATGATTTTACAGTTTCAAATTCAGTAAAAGGTACGGTGACGCAGCGAAAATGGGACCTATTCCGTTCAGATAATCTAGTAGAAGAAAAAGTAATTTAGATTAGAAGAACTAAGCAATGAGTAGTTATAGAGTAAACGAAAGAAATTAACTAATCGAAAATAAAGGCGCCTATTCTGGTAATCGTAACTTGTTTACTAAACCGCGACTTGCTGTTTGATAATTAGAGTTTCTAGTAATAATTCTGGTAGGTAATCTCAATAGCTCAGTAGGAGTAAAGAACCTTGATATCAACAGGTTTACCAGTAATTCTGGATGATGTTTATTTATTTTTTTGGCAACTACAAGCTAATATTCTCAAATCAATGAAAAATACACATAGACTATAACACTAGCGCAGAATAAAATAATAATATGATCTAGATCAAATTTCAAAACCTATGTTTACAATCTGACCATGGCAGAGAAGGGTTTAGCAAAAAATTTAGCGTTCTTTGTTTCCTCTCATTAGACACACGTTGGTTGTACACGTAGTGAAAAGGTAGTTTATTCTTTAGATACGATGAATAACATGGAAATTAAATAGTTTTTATGTTGCACAATAGAAAAACGACAATAAGTTTAGAATGTGAGAAGCGATCGTGCAACTAACATTACAAATATGCCAAACTAATGAAAGATTATGATCTGTGCAGAAAATAGAGAGTGATTTAATGCACCAGATGAGTTTGATTTTTATGCGCAAATTTGATTATTTTAAATTAAAATATATAACGGAAACTATTCCTGTCAAGCCTCTAAAGTAGAATGAAAGCCACTGTTTTCATCTGCCATTTTCATTTATTTCCAAACAGAACAGAACATTTTAAACTAATTTTTTTAACGCCTATCATGGTCTACTACTTTGTCAACCAAAACGTCTATTCTTGATAAAAAATCATAGAAACGATCACATAGAAAAATCAGTAGCAGTAGTATTTTAATACGAAATGGCCTATTCTAAGAGGATCGAAAATAACAAGAAATAAAACAGAATTTATAAAGATAGTTGCCTATATGCTTGCTTTATGCTGCGTGTTCAAAAGAAATTTTTTACATGAAAACAAAGGAGTAGGGCGGATAAGACCCTTTTCTAGCCCACTAAATTTTTGACTTTTTTGCATTGGAATCATGTCAGGTTTGGAAAATGTTTTCTCCAAGCCCACCTGATAATATGCAATCGACCCTGCTGATTACGAATATTTATATTAGAAGTGTCAAAAATGATTTGGTAAGAAGTAATATTCAGTTTACCTCAATTTTCTGGTTTTCCGCCGAAAAGGGTATTCACGTCCTCTTCGCCGAGAAAGCACCGAAAAATTAAGATAGGTAATGATTCGGATGCAGAATTTCATGCTAAATCCGAATATAGCATTAGAAAACATATTCAAGCGCAAGCTTTCTTGAAAATCGGCAAAATTCGCTGAAAATCGGGTTTTTAGGCGGTATTCGCGCTAGATGGCCCAGACAGAAATTCAGGCACATCATCAAATTTTTGCACAATATGCAACTTTTCACGTTCTCCGATGACTTATGGGGAATTCTGCCCGTAATTCTCAATTTTCTTGATCAGAGCTAACCTTTTATGCAGTAAAAACATCATATTTAGAATCAGGGTCAAAAGTCGAATCGACTGATGTGTGTTTCGAATGTTTTAGTTCATTTACATTTTTTCGTGAAAACTTCCATGCTTTTTCAGCGTAAAAATTGGAAAAAAATTAAAGTACGTAGATACGATAAATACGCCCATCAGTCGACTTGGTTTTCCCCCCGATTTTTGGCGGATTTTGCCGATTTTCAAGAAAGCTTGCGCTTGAATATGTTTTCTAATGCTATATTCGGATTTAGCATGAAATTCTGCATCCGAATCATTACCTATCTTAATTTTTCGATGCTTTCTCGGCGAAGAGGGCGTGAATACCCTTTTCGGCGGAAAACCAGAAAATTGAGGTAAACTGAATATTACTTCTTATCAAATCATTTTTGACACTTTTAATACAAATATTCGTAATCAGCAGGGTCGATTGCATATTATCAGGTGGGCTTTGAGAAAATCAAAAACAAAAAGTTTTTCAGGAATCCTGTAGGAGACCCCAGCCGTCAAAAACCTGACCGAGAGATTACGTGAAACTAAGTTTCTGGGAATGTTCCTGAGCATCTCCTGACATGATTCCAATGCAAAAAAGTCAAAAATTTAGTGGACCAGAAAACGGTCTTATCCGCCCTACTCCTGTGTCTGATTTTCTATTTAGTATTAATCAGAGTATGAGAATTTAGATTCTCATTCCTTTAAGGAATCGACATAATGTTGT